GGATCTGCTGCCGAACAATAGCAGGGCCCATTCCTACCAAAATCAGTCCTTTGGCTGATTTTAATAAGCGTTGTGAGGAGTTTACATCTTCTTTTGATTTTTAGGTTCAAATAAACCAAAATCTCGCAGCAGAACTCATTAAAATGTATTGAGTTTCATCTCCTCTTTGCATCAAACACATCCGTTGTGCAGCTGGAGCTGCTCTCCCAGGGCTGCATTCCGACTTTACCTTTTATCCACAGTGTGCTCGATATGTTTCCACACGCTGCCCCAGAAGGGAGGGGAGCTGTGATTCAAGCAGCTTGTTTGCATCACTCGGGAGCTGTGGCACGGAACATTTAAGCCATTACTGACCAAAGGCCTTTCTGGGCAAAGGCTGCTTGAATGGACTCATCTTGGCAGTTGTTAGGCAGAAAGGGAATGCAGACCTCCTCCCCTCCTGGCATTTCCAAACAGAGCCGTTAGTTCGGGCATGGGTCTGGAATCATGCCCATCCTGCCAGGAGGGAAGAATGGTGACATTGTCTGAAAGTTCAGTCAGGAGTTCATCTTCTACCTTGTTTTTTAAAAGGCCCTACTTTGGAAAATACCATTTTAGCTTCCCTTAAACAGTAAACCCCTGGTGTCAGTCACGAGGCTGGTGGAACAAAGTAAAGCAAAGATTTGTTAGAACTAGTCCAGTTTGTGGTGCAGCCCTTTCCAGAGGGCTCCTGCTCCTCCTTCCTTGCTACTAAATGGACCCTGGGATTTCTGTTTCAAAATGGACTTAAAACTCCTGCCTTCCCTCCCATCAAAACATTGCTCTGCCTTCTCTTTTTGCTGTTGCCGACCCGTGGTTTTAGCTGGCAGGTTCCTTTAAGATGTTTGGAAAAATTCATCCATTTGGAAAACCAGTACTAAAATGAGGTCAGCTTTATTTGCACTCCCAGGAAAAATCTGGTTGGAGGAAAAGAAGTGGCGAGCATATGATGTACGTGAGCGACGCTGCCAAAATATCTCACAGGCTTGCCTTTGTAGCAGGCTGTGGGAGTGAGCGCGGGGTGAGTCACACAGACAAGTGGCAAGGGCCCTCTCCAGCTCCCAGCCTCCATGAAATTACCTCTTCCCGAATTTAGGCTTAGGCACAACTCAGACGTGCTGCTGGCTGAAGGTGCAGTATCCCCTGCGGGCCTGGGGCTCGTTTAGGTCTGACACATTCCAGGCTGCTTCACTACAGGGCAAGGAAAGAGTTAAGCTGAGAGAAAGCCCCGGGTACTAAAATTAACAATCCATCCCAGCCCCCCGCCCACAGCTTTGAAATTTCTAATCACAACTTGCAGTTAGAGGATTTCTTCTAGCAGTAGGTTTGGATCCTTTGAAATCACAGATGGCTGGCTGGAGCTCCGAGGAATTCAGTCTCCTCCTCTCTTCCTTCTGCTTCGCCTTCCTCCCCCCCCCCCCCCCGCCCAGAAAAATCTGTTTGCAGGTCATCTGTAAGATTTTATTGTTGCTTGCTACAGCTGAAGCAGATTTGGCTGCTGGTTGACAAAGGTCTTCAGAAATTGGTGGTTGAGCTCCACTGGAATTACCCCTCGTGTTCAGAATACCCACCTGGACCGCTGTTGTTAATGTTTCCAAATTGAGCTGTGTTAAAAAAGCAAACAAACAGCCACCCCAAACAAACAAAAAAAACAACCCACAACCAAAACCAAAGAGGTTTCCCTTACTGCCCTGGATGTATTGGCACAGCTGAATTGCAGCTGAAGGCACGAAGATCAGGAACTGTGTTAGGAGCTTGTTCTGCCAGTGAATAATACATTCCTGTGACGGCATCCTTTGTCTGCAGGAGGCACTTTTTATTGTCAGTGCAAGTGATTACAAAGCCTAAAAATAAAAAAACCCTCCTATTTTGCATCCTACACAAACGCATCCCCAAAACCGTAAAGTGTTTCTGTCCAGAGAGCCATCTGCCCCAATTCCTGCAGAAACTGCTCTTGGAAACCATAGCCTGCAGCACTTTGCAGCCTAAAATTTCTCCCAGGGAAACTGAAAAGTGTTTCTTTTAGTAAAGTTAGCTATAAACATGGACCAAAGAGAGATCTTTATGAGGTGGATTACATTCTATGGACCAAGTCAGGCTATTTTTAATGGATAAGCAGGTGATTTTTAGTGGCTCTCACAAGTGAAAACCTCACACCAAAGTTTTGACTCTCAAATTTCAGTGCAAGATTTGACCTGCAGCTTGTGACCTCACAGGAGACGTCAAAGCCAGTGCCTTGACTTGGCTCACTTCTCCTTTATTAACTTCCAAACTGCTCTTTAAGGAGTTTCAGCTGAGCCACTTGACCTTCCAGTGCAGATTAAGAAACCATAGGCACTGTGTAAGCAGTGGTTTAAAAACTCCCAAAGTGACCACAGGGAAAAAAAAGCCAAACAAAAAGCCACCACCGTGGAGCTAAAGTTTAATTTTAAATCAGGGAAACAGAAGCAGAAAGCTGGGGTGGGTTAGTTCATGGTGGCTGTCCCAGCTTGGGCAGCTCCTCCAGCCGTGGGTCTCAGAAAAACAAGGGAAGCTTTTGGCTGGAGCACCCTCCTGCTGTTCTCTGGGAGGTGCTGCCACACTGACAGGGATCTGTGCTGCTAATGTTGCTTTTCTGCACTGCTCAGGTTTTATCATCCTGCCCTGAGCAGAGAGAAGAGACTCCGGTCCCTCTGTGATCGTCACACGACTTCCCTGTGCTGGATTTTGGGAAGCTGTGTCCATCCTCCCATTTCTCATCCTCTGGGATCCCGCTCTGCCGTGCCTCCCTTGTGTTTTGGGAAGCCTGCATACATGTGCTGGCATTTTTTCCAAATGGCATGCATGTATCTGATGGAGAGCTGTGTAAATGGAGATGTAAACTGGATTCAGCCCGGGGGTGTTTGGCTGGTTGCCTGGCCCTGCTCTCTGTGCTGGAAAAGCCTGTGCACCGCTCTTGCTCCAAGGGAAACTTTCAAGCACGTCAGTCCTCTTCTTTTTTCCCTTACAAAGGTTATAAGGCCTCAGCCCTCAATTGAATTACGTCCCTAGTTCAGAAAGGAAAGGTTATTTTCCCCTCTCTTTTCCCCTCGGCAGCTCAAGAGGAGCTGGCAGCGCTGCTCAGTGGTATGTCAGGGTGCTCCAGGAACACCCACTGACTGGCCCAGGCAGCACAGGGACAACCTCCAGAGGGATCAGGATGACTAAAAGTGCTTTTCTGGGCTCAGAGGCCTCTGAAACTCATTTGTGTTGTAAATACAGTGGGAATGTTTGCCAGTCACCGCAGAAAAAAGCAGTGCCTGAGGATGCTCACTTTGGCCTGATATTTTTCCTGTGTTTTCTCCAATAGTGGCTAATTACTCTCTTCCTGCAAAACCAAGAAAAGACTATCAATATTTTATATTAGGAGACATGGTTGGGCTAAATATAGTTCCTGCTTTTTTCCTAATGAATGTGCAGCCAGGAGCTCCTGGTCTCCTCACTCTCAGTACTCAGCACTGGGCCCAGCTTTGGCCTCTGTGCTGGCTTGGCTGAGCTGTGGCTCTGGTCCTGACCTGGTCCTGTTTCTCCAGGCACATATTTCACCTGGTGCAGCTCTCGGCTCTTCTCCAGGTGTGTCCTGAGAGGCTGTAGCTGACTGGTGGATGTGACCCAGGTAGCATTACCGGGGATGTAACAGCTGGCAACCTGCAGGCTCAGTTAAATAATAAATAAATAAATAGGTAAATGACCCATCATCAGCCCTGCACAGGCCTGGAGAAATCCCTTTTCAGGGCTCTGGACTTGCAAGGTGGTAAGGGGTCCCCCAGCTCTGCCCCTCTCTGCCGAAGGGAACAACATATTTCACCTGTTCCTTGTAATTTGAACTGCTCTTTTCCATCAGTGCCATGCTCATTTCCCAGGGCTTTACCCCTCCTTTGGAAGTGCTGGTGGCTTTGGAGACCGTGGGGGATCTGGCCTTTGGGAACCTGCCCAGCTCATGGGAAAAACCTGTGGTGTCTGATGGGAGGATAATGAGATGCTCATGAATCCCCCGAGGGAAGGAGCTGAGGGAGGCTGTGAATGCGCATCCCTGTTTCCCATTGGCCCCATTTACAGTGAGTGTCCTGGGGATCAGCCCCAGGTTTAAAAAAGAAATGCAAAAATTACTAAATGCACGTAAATAACGTAAGGTTGGAGGTTCTGGAGTTTTGCTTCCCCAGGCAGAGTATCCCCCTGGGCAAGGGAGGAACTTCTAATAGGGATTTTTCAGCCCACACTGGCCCTTTGGGGGTTGGTGGGAAGTGATTGTGAGACACACTGCAGACCTTTTGGAGCCCTGCTCGGGAATCCTGGATTCAAGGTGTTCCCTCTAGCTGGAAAACCTTGGGTCGTTCCATTGATACCTGGAAACCTTGTGTAGGGGTATGCCTACCCAGTACAGCCTCTCCCTTGTTCATGGAGAAGCATTTGTTTTATAAAAATCTAAAATAAAAGGAGGTTTTTTTCAGGACTGAGGGCCTTGACGTTTATTTGCCACTTAAAACCTGATGGGCTTTAAGTGGTACTGGAGTGTGGTTTTATACCTGGTGCAGGATATGTGAATGAAGAACAATATTTGTTCCTTATCAGTCTTTAAGGTTTCCCTTAGCTCTGGGAAAGCGCCTTGAATCTGCATTTGTTCAGAGCTTGCTGAAATCCCCTCTGTATTTGCTGTGCAGCTCCTCCCTGTCTCATGGATTTGCCAGCAGCCTCTCCCACCTCTCAGTGCTGAGGTCAGAGAGCTCTTGCAGAAAACCTCAATGTGACAGGAATCTGCAGCCCACAGAGGGATTGGAGACCTGTGGGTGATTTTGGCCCAGCTTTGTCCAAATCTGAGCCACCTGGGTTGGGTTTCCGTGGGCAGGTTTGCCAAGCAGTGATCCCTGTGTGTCCCAGATGAGCCTGTTCCGTTTCCTGGAGCTGTAGTCCCCTTTGTGCTGCCTTTGGCTCAGTGTTTCATCAGGCTGTCTTTGGTTTTGCAGGTAGCTGTATCCAGCTGGGTGGCAGGTGGATCCAAGGGTTACCATGAAGTTTACAGGACCCCTGGAGAGCCAGAGGTTGTCTCTCCTTCTGGAGACGGCAATCTCTAGGGAAGCTCAAATGTGGAAAGCACATGTGCCGAAAATTCAGCCCAATCAGGTAATGTCTCTTCTTCACATCACTGATCTCAGCAAAGGCAGGAGGCTGTCCTGGGTGTGTTGGTATGGGAACTACTGGAGGTGTTTTCAGGAGGGGTTACCTTTACCTGGGAATTGGCCTCTCCAGGAAGGGATTCCCCCTTTATTTGAGGGGCACACCTGCCCCCGGGGGCGCAGAACACCCTGCGCAGCACACATGGGTACATCTCTGAAAGCACATACAGACGTTGTCTTAATTGTCTTAATTAAATTAATTTTACCAAGTGTGTGGTTTATTAGTGCCCATTTCTACTGGGCACCAACTTCACAACAGTTCTTAAAAGCAGCTCCATTTCTTGGACTAGTTCATTAATAACAGTGTTGATCTGACTTGGGAAAGGCACTGCTCCAGGAAGAACCCCACTGACTCCAGCAGGGCTATTTATGGAGCAGGGTGCAAGCTCGTGTCAAGGGAACCAGAGCCAGGCGCTGGCCTGTTCCAGTTAGGAATGTTCTCATAGGACTGGAGGAAAATTCGGAGTGGAAGGGACCGCAGGGGCTCCATAGTCCAAGCCCCTGCTCGACTTGTGCAGCAGGGAGGTTGGAGCAGCTGCTCACGGCCTCGCCCAGCCTGAGCTGGGCCTGTGCTCCTTTGGAAGGAGGTGCGTGTCTCACATGTGCACCCAGAGGCACCTCTGCGCTCCACAGAGGTCTGTTCAAAACAAAATGTGAAATGTGGGGATGGTTGTCACAGGGTTTCTGCTCCTTTGGTGCTGGGTTGGGCTGAAACAACCACACTGAGGACTCAGATCCCGTCTTGCTGTTGTTACGCCACATGAAACGTTTATACAGGTAGGTCAGCTGTTGTCAGAGCTAATCCCTGTGCTGTTTGTTTTTTCTGTCTGGCAAACAAGAAACTGCTGCTGTTGGAGCATATACATTTTTAAGGGCCTCAGTATTACTTTTGTTAATCCACATTGTGGTTTCCAAATGAGTGACATGGTTGTCAGAGGTGTGAAGCATATGTAGCTGTGGCTGTCTTGGGCCACATACAGTTTAAGCCTCTGGCTTATGGTAAACCAGGCTGTCGCTCCCTGCTGGCAGTATTCCTGGGGTGATTATAATGTAGGGAGATAAGATTAGAGGATAAGAGAGTGTAACCACACCAGAGTCATGGGGGAAGATTTCACAGGGACAAGGCACTTGCGTTTCTGCCTTGGTGAAGGTGGCTCAGAAACCACCACCTACCTGCCTTAGGCAGACCTCGCAGCGATCCCTGTTCTGTGCTTGTCCCTAAGGGTTTCTGCTCCTGGAATTGCCACCCCCAAAACTCTGTTGTCTTGGTGTCACCTTTTTCTTCCTGTTTTCCCCCGTGTCAGTTCAGACATGGACATTAGTGCTGTGCTACTGAATGTTTTCTGGCAGTAAGGAATCACTACATTGGAGCGAGAGCTCCGTGTGTGAGATGTAGGAAGGTCAGATGGAGAGGAAGCAAAGACACAGCTGCTGCTGGGGGGGAATCCAGACTTGCGAGGCCACAGGGCAGCTGAGAACACTGTGTGGAATCACAGGTTTCTCTCTGTTCCTGAGGTTCAAGACACCCAGCTTTTCCAACTGTTCCGTGTGTCCCCAGCATTCAGTTTGGCGATGGTGCTCAGTGTGAATTACCCCATTTTCTGTAAAATCTGGAAGGTGGTCAGATTCCCCAACAGCCACTGCCTTCTGAAAGCAGCTGCAGCAGCCGAAAACCTCACTTGCACGACACTTGTTTATTTGCCATGACACTCGGGAAATGTGCAGTCTTCTGTGGATCAGATCTGGCACCCCGGAGCGTGTGGAACTTTCCATTCCCTGCTGCGAGGGTGGGCTGACTGCACAAAGGTTTAATGAGCTCACCTGGTTTGCCAGGCACAGACGTGAGTGCGTCTGCAGAGATCTGAACAGCCTGACTGGAGACACACTGAGGGTATTTTGCAGGAGGAAACTTTCAGTTTTGACTCTTGAGGAGACATTTTTGGTTCTAATGTTTAAAACCGGAACAAATGCAGTTTCTAAATATGTGTCAGTTGAGACCTTTGAAAGGAAGAAACAAACCCATAGTTACAGAAACAGGAAGACTTTCCATTTTTAGGACGGTGCAAAGTCTCTTGGGGACTTTGTTCCTGGTAGTTTAATATATGTGATTTTTGTGTTTCCTTAGTACTTTTTGTCTGAAAACTCTCATCCCCTACTTTAAATGCAGGCCAGTGCTCCGGGTATGTGCAACATAGCAAAGCCAGATCTCACAAGGGCTTTTCAGCCTGAAAAAACAGATGGGCTGAGTCTGGAACCTCCTCATGCTTCTGAATGGATTTGGTCTTTTTCTTCCTTTTTTTCCCTTCTAGTTTCCCCCACCACTTGAGTTATACAAGATGCAGGTGACATTCTGAAGTCTTCATGGGATTAAGGCTAGAAATCAAGCTGTAAAGCCTGGTCAGAGGTTGATTTTTGCATGTTACAGAATAACTTTGCAGCACAGAGATGTGTGAGCCAAGAGTTTTGGGGCTTTTTTTTATAGAAACAGTGTCACTTGTGTCATGCCTGCTTTCTTTCCTGTTCTGGCTCATTCTTCCTGTCTTCCCACTTGTTCTCTGGACCTCTTGAGGAGTCAGAATATCTCAGTTTATTTCCAGTCCTAATAAAGGTCACCTGCTCACTCCCCAGGAGGCCACACAGAAACAAACAGGGGAAAGGGCAAAACACCTGTCTGGGACAGCAGACGTGAAGGAAAACATTATCAGGTGAGGTGTTTTTCTTAGATGGGGCAGCAATAAAACTGAGTCATGTTTGAGTTCACAGATAATGTTTATTTTAGCCTGCATATTCCAGAAGTCTCGGGGCATTCCTAGAGGTGATCTGCGCCCACGTTATGTCCCCTGACCCTCCTATCTGGTGCAGAGGGGACACACACAGAAAGTACCTCTGGACCAGGCAGGAACTCTGGGCTTTCCAGCCCAGAGGGACTTTCTCACTTTCAGCCACCGAGTGTCTCACTGCTCCTTTTAGTTTCAATTAACTAAGGAACAGTGACCTCGCTGCTTAATTAATGTTACTGTGCTGCATTTTCTTACTTTTGTTCTGAGGGTGGCACAGGGACACCTCCAAGGGAGGGGAATAGAGCCCGATACTTCGTGTGGGAGGCTCCTTGCCCTGTGTGGAAGCAGAAACAGCAGCAGGGCTTGTGGGTGCGGGGGGGACCAGGTCCCACTCCTGTCTGTCTCTTACACTGAGCTCACTCAACCTTCCCTGCTCTGTCTGTGTGAGGGAATTCCCCCCTGCCTCCTGCTCCCTCATTTGCAGTTTGGGACTGGAGTAGACCCTTTCTGTAGGATGATGTTAAAAAGAGCTGGAGACTCACCTCCTTTCCTTTGCTTCTTCAGGTAGTTCTTAAGGAGCCAGTTTAATTTTGGAGCCTTCCTTGTGCTGCACACACACCGAGCTGAGGGTGTTTGCAGTTGTTCCTTCCCATCACAGGGCCACGGGGCTTTAGGGTCATTTGGTTTAATTTTACATCTTACACACGCTTAGGGTTTGGGTCAAGCACCTTTTCCCTTCCCACGGCCAGGACAGGCCTCATAGGTACCGAGTGTGTAGTTTGTGTTACAGCCTGGCTGGTAAAGATCACTCTGGGGCTGAAATGGGGCCTTTTGGCCTCAGGGCAGATCTCAGGAGGGCTGAGGATGAGAGGCAGTCTTACCCTTCCCACCCATGCTGTTTTTAGGAGAAGGCCTAACCTTTTGCTTTGGCAGGCACAGGGAAAACAGCATCGAGCCAGGGCAGACACTGCCAGGAGCCGTGGAAGCCGATGCCCATTTCTGCCGGGATCGAGCAGGAATGGGATTTTCCAGGGATGGAAGGGGCAGGGCTGTGGTGGTGTTGAAATGCCCCCATGCTGCTGAGGCAGGGCCCTCCCTCCCCAGCCAGAAGCGCCACAGGCACCATTTTCACCGCCTCCTCAGCCCATTTTTCTCCACAGGTACACCCTCAGTCCCTGTTCTGTGTCTGGAACAGCTTTAGCAGAGCATTTAATAAACTCTCCTGCTGTGTGGTGTGTTCACTGTGCTCCCAGCACACCCCTTGAACTGGCATTCCTGGGAGGAGTGCAGGGCACTGCTGGCAGCGAGTGTCCTGCCCCGGGGGGGGCTCATCAACAGTTTTAGAAACAACCATATTTTTTGGAATTGAGAAAATGGCAGGTACTTTTTATTGAAGCATTGAGTGGCAGCTGAGAGCAGAAGCCCATCTCGATCACCAGACAGTTCTGGTGACGCCAGGGCACCATCAGGGCTTGGAACAGTAGGCAGGCCCTTGTTCTCAGGGCACTCCTGGTACAGCAGCACTGGGACTGGTGTACTTTTCCCAAGGGAACTGGGGGACAGGTGTGAGCAGCAGTCACCAGCTGTGCCCCTGTCCCACAGCCCAGAATCCAGCCCTGTGGCTGGAGCCCTGCCACATTCCCCACCCCTTCTGTCCCACCAGGAAGGGAGCTCAGTGCAGAGTAAAGATGTCACACTGCCAGTACCATAGCATGGGGTGACACTGGTGTTCCCAGGGAGGCCCCTCTGCGATTACAGCTCTGCCTTCACCTGGGCTGGACTCCAAGGCAGGAGGGGCAGCAAGCCCGGGTAGAAAGCAAGTTACTATCCGTGGAAGGTACACAGTAGGTGTTTGGGTGGTAGACAGAGCCTGAAGTATTGGATTTGCATCTCTGTGGGGTGGTTTTATTTTAAATTTCTGCTGCTTCACTCTCCTGGTGTTGCTGGGAGGGCAGTAAGAGCCCAGCTGTTTGTGCTTCTGGATACATCCTTGCTAATCATCCCCAATAATCCCCACTGGAGTGAGACCAGGCAGTTCCTTGGATGACGTGAAAGGCTCTGGAAAAGCTGTAAATATTTCTGAACTAAGTCACGCTGAAGGATTTGATGTCAATGGCTGAACTGTACATGCGGTTGAAATTTAGCTGTTGTCCAAACAGATCGATGGGGAGGACAGGGGCCAAAAACTTAAACCGCACACCAAACCTAAAGCGCAGGTGAAATTGTACCTGCTCCACCCCAATTCTCAGTTAACTGAGCCACTAAAAGCCTGCTGGCAATTTTCTTTATTTTAACATACGCTGAGCTAAAAAAATCTCCATAATTTGAAGAAAAAATAAACCTTTCCTCTCAAAACTTCAACTGGGTCCCTCCCCTCTGGGCTGGTTTTGTTCCAGCTGGGCATTCCTGTGCATCCACATGGTTCTGAGGAGGTTAAAAAAAGAATAAACCTCTGGGAGCTAAGCTGGAGCTGAGCCTGTCAGTGTATGAGAAACTACAAGACATCCTTCTTCTTATCCCCACTGTACAGCGACACTGGAGTGAGGTTTGGGGTTCCTGTAAGGAAAGCTTGCTTTTCCAGGGCAGGTTTTTGGGATGAGGTAAGTAACTGCAGGAACAAAGTGGTGATTGAGGCTGGCTCGAGGCTCCCCTTGCCAAAGGAGGCTTTGTTCCAGTGCAGAGTGACTCCTGCAGAGGTAAAACCTTTGGTGTTTCAGGACTTGCTCAGCCCGTGTATAGGAACAGTTTGTTTTTCTCTCCCCCAGGATGTAGCCATTTCTCCAAGGCAGAGGGATGAGGTCATCCAGTGGCTGGCCAAGCTCAAGTACCAGTTCCACCTTTACCCAGAAACGCTTGCCCTGGCCATCAGCCTCCTGGACAGGTTTTTAGCTGCAGTAAAGGTAAATATTTGTGGATCCTTAAACTGGAATAGATTCCTACCCCCTGCTCAGCTGTTGGTGTGTGCAGTCTGACGGAAACTCTTCCGTCCCCCCTGGTGCTCACACCCCTTCCTTGCTCCCCGTGGATAGGCTGGCACCTGCTGCTCCAGAGCCTCATCTGGGGTGGGCTCTGAGATACCAAGACCCCAGTCTCACCCTGAACAGACTCAAGGTAAAGGCAGTGCCCATGAACTGTTATAACACTTGGAACCCAACGCCCAGCACCCTCGGACAGAAGTGTTGGGAAGGTCTCTGCTCACCTCGATTTTGTGGGTGTTTTAACTACATTCACCTCATGTGTACCACTTGGATTGCCAGGAGCACCTGCTAGCAGGGAACCAGCTGGAGAAAAAGTTTGAGGTTTGGGCCTGGCAAGTGGGCTGGTGCAGGGAAATGGAAAAAAAAAAGGGAGGGGAAGAATATAGAGCCAGGGGCCACTGTTGTTCTGGGAGCAGTTCCCTGCCTGCCTGCTCTACAGCCAGGCTGATGGACTTGCAGCTTTAGGCTGATGTCCAGCAGGTGTGAAGGAGACAGGGAAGCACACACAGGTCAGGCTTCTGTGTGACACACGTCCCCTCCTGTGGTGCTCAACCCACTGTGTATTCCCCAACAGCAGAATAGAAGAACCCCCTTGTTTTTAAGGCTATTCCACCATAGAAACTGCTTAAAAAGGGAGTAAGAAAACAGCATGTGGGCTCCTTGCAAGGGAGACCTGCTGTTCCTCTGGCCCTTTGAGTTACCTGGGCTGTGCTTGGGCTGTGGTTTTGTACCTGCCAAGTGACTGAACAAACTCTGCTCCAGCCTGGAATCCCTGGCCTGGAGCTGTGAGGTCAGGCTTTGGGAAGTTCATCTCTTACTGTGTTTGCTCAGCTACCATTCTGTGCTTGGCAAATCCCTGTCTCACCTGCACGTGTCTGATCTCACCACCAGCACGTTGGGTAAGCTGTATCCCTTAGGAGAGGGAAGCAGGAGCATGATGCATTCCCAGCCTGTGCCCTTGCACTCCAACGTGACTGAGTTTGGTAGAACACAACTGACATCATTCATTAACCCACCCTTTAAACATTAATAAATATTGCTCATGTTTTCATACAAGCCATGGAAGGTCTTATTTTTAAGGAGATTCCAAAGCAGCTGAGTTACTGAAATGCTGAGATGGGAAAGATTTAAGTCCTTCAGCAGCCAATGCCCTCAAGGACAGTTTTTCTTTCAGTAAGTTGGAGCAGCCAAGGAGTGTGTACAGAAAGCATGGGAATACAAGTCAGGAGCCCTCTGTGTGCTTGAGGCAGCGAGCAGGGATTGGGAAAGGGGCTTAGCCTGCATGAGCATCATGCTCTGTGCTCCTTCCCCCAGCTCTCCTCTCCCATAAAGCTCTCATTCCTCTGATGCAGCTCCTGTTTTTTTTATCAGGTGCTTTCCCATCTCCAGGAACACAGTTTGGGATTGCTGGGAGTGGCTGTGACCCACAGCCAGCAGTGTTGGTGTGTGTCACTGCCCAGCACTCGTTAGCCCTCAGCAGGGCCCAGTTCTGGTCCTGCCCTAAGGGATTTCATTCTCAGACACCTGAGTGCACAAGTGCAGGTTGTGAGTGGATTTTCAGGTTTGCTGCAGGATTTTCACTTACCTTTGCTTTCAGCATCTCCAGCTGTCCCAAAGTTAAGGAACAGCCTCTTCCTTTCCCTGCCCGTGGCCACTGTGGAGGAGGGGACCATGTCCAGTGGTTGTTACACTGATGGTGGGAGTGAAGCCCTTTGTAAAAACAGTCACACAGACTGAGCTCACAGACAGACCCCTCTCCCATCCAAATTTCATTTACCTTGCCTGAACCATCTCCCTGTGGAAGGGACTGGCTCTCCTCCGCTAATCCCTGGGCCACAGTTTTGGGAACTGTGCTGCAAAACAACCAAGTGGTGTTTTTCCAAGTTACACTTCCCTAGGCAAGACAGTCCTCCTTCCCATTTCTGCTGCAGGGCCTGAGCCCGAGCTCTTTCCACTCCAGTGCTGCCCGTTCCAATCACGGGGCTGCCAGATCAGATCTCTGCTCGGCCTGATGTCACGGAGCATGGATTTGTGCTTGGCACAGCCTGTCACCGCCAGGGCATAGTTAAGAGGTCAGCCTGCTGATCCACATGGAGACCCTGGGGCTTGGGATGTCCAAGCAGAAGGATCAGGGCATCATTTCTGCATCATGCTGACACAGAGACTTCTCTGCTCTTCTGTCCTGCAGGCCCGTCCAAAGTACCTCAACTGTATTGCAATCAGCTGCTTCTTCCTCGCTGCAAAGACCATTGAGGAAGATGAGGTAACTCTGTTCTTCCTGCCTTGCCATTGTCGGAGTATCTGTCCTTCCAGTCCTGCCTTTGCTTGCACACAGTGGCTGACACTTGCCAGGGCAGGAATGAGGCATTTGGTAGGATTTCTCTAACAATCCGTTCTTTTTTTGTGTTGGCTTTTGCAGAGGATTCCAGTACTGAAGGTGTTGGCTCGGGATAGCTTCTGTGGTTGTTCTCCAGCTGAAATTCGCAGAATGGAGAAGATCATCCTGGATAAACTGAACTGGGATCTTCACATGGCAACGCCACTGGATTTCCTTCATATTGTAAGTAAGGGGCTACTCATGGTCTTTCAGGTATCGGTCAGCACAAATAATGCGTTGAGAAGCACCTACACAAAAATTCTACCTGTAGGGGAGCAAAGACCTTGGGATGTTTGTAATTCCTCTGTACAAGCACTTTCTGAATGAAAAAGCCTTGCCAGAGAAGCCGGGCAGGTCCCACTAGAAGGGCTGCACCAAGCTTTGGTGGGTTCAACGTGCTGGGTTTTTCCCCCTGGTGTGGAAATTCCTCCAAGGTTAAGCTGGAGGATGCCAGTGTGCCCGAGCCATCTCACAAGGCGTTCCTAAGGTCGGTGCCTCCAGCTGCCTCCTGTCCTTGTCTCCCCACAGTTCCATGCCATGGCAGTGTCCAGCAGGCCGCAGCTCCTGGCTCTGCTGCCCACGCTGAGCCCGTCACAGCACGTGGCAGCGCTCACCAAGCAGCTGCTGCACTGCATGGCCTGTTTCCAGCTGCTGCAGTTCAAGGGCTCCATGCTGGCACTGGCCATCGTCAGCCTGGAGCTGGAGAAGCTGCTCCCCGACTGGCTGGCTCTCATCATCGAGCTGCTCCAGAAGGCACAGGTGAGGGGCGGGGAGGGACCGCGGACACACCCTGCTCAGTGCTCCTGCCAGCCAGGGCTTTGGGATCCCTGACTGCCAATGGCTGCCTGCTGGTGCATTTGTGTGGGGATGGCTGGGCTCCAGCCTGGAGGAACAATTCTCCATCCTGACCACATGCAGTGGGTGACAGAGGTGGGAGCCATGTGCCCTCACAAACACAGAGTCCTGCTGCACCAGGGAGAAGATAACACACTAGTGCAAAATTCCTAGTCAGTGGTTCAGGCATTCATTCCCAGCATACTGACAAGTACTGGAAAGGCTCTGGTAGTGGTATCTTTTAAGCTTTTTCCTTACCACTATTCCCACGAGGTGTAAGAAGGAGCGGGGGCTGTATTGCAGAAGGTCATCGTGGTAGGGGTGCTGTACCTCTTCCTCCTCCTGCATGGCTGGGTGGTGCTGTTGGAGCTCGTGCCCTCTCCTCACCACAAGGCCGGTACCTTTGCTTGTCTTCCCCCTCCAGATGGACAGCTCGCAGCTGATCCACTGCCGGGAGCTCGTGGCACATCACCTTTCCACTGTGCAGCCTTCTCTGCTGCCCAACTCTGTATATGTCTACAGTCCCCTCCAGCAGACCCTGGTGACCTGTAACAGAGGAGCGTTCCACCGCCAGCCCTCCTCTGTCCCAGGGCCGGGTCTCTCCAAGGACAACGGCCGGCCAGAAGCGCCAGTCACAGGTACAGCCGCGCTCTACCAGCGCCGTCCCGCCCCCGCCGGCGGCTGCAAACAGGCCTCCGCCAAGCGCAAGGTGGAAGAGATGGAAGTGGACGACTTCTACGACGGGATCAAGCGTCTCTACAACGAGGACCTCACCCCGGAGGTCGTGGCCCTGGAGAACATGGGCTCTGTTTGCGGCGCCGACGTCTCGCGGCAGGAGGGCAGCGTGTCCCCTTGCCCGCCCCTGCAGCCGGTGTCTGTCATGTAGCTGCGAGTGCCACCACCCGCTCCAGGAGCCCCGCCGGACCCGGCAGCCCGTGTCCTCAGTGGGGGGAGAAGGGGCCATACCTTGTCAGGCTGAACTGAAGGGAGCCAAAAAAAAAAAAAAACCCAGGAAAAAAAAAATCCCAACCCCTTTTGAATTTTATTTCTTGTGCGGCTAATTATAGTTCCACTATTTAAGCACTTAAAAACACAAAAAAGTATAAAAATCTAAAAAAAGACCCAAAAACCAACCAAAAAAAAAAAGTAGCAAAAACCTGTTCCTTTCTAGTGTTGTCAGTTCCACTGTTTTTCTGCTCCTGTGTGTTGTAACCCATTCTCCACATCTGAGAGCTCACATCAACCCTGCAGAGCTGTTCCAGGTTTCCCAGCCAACTAACACCTCTCTGATCCCATTCCGACCTGCTCCTTGCTCCCCTTCTGCTTGTTCCTCTTTTTAATTCTCAGCCAGTCTTGTGCTTGACGTTCTGTCCTGCCCCACAGCTTTTTCTTTTGCCCTTCTAAACAGAAAATCTCTTTTCTTTTGTTAATACTTGGGTGTTTAAATGTGATAATACTGCAAAACTGGATTTAAACAAAAGGTTTTAAACAAAACCCCAAACCAATTCTCGCAAGCTGCTCCACACTTCAGTAATGCCCACAGGAGTGTGAAGGTGCGCTGGAAGAACACCAGGGCAGCTGACCCTGGTGCTCTGCCTCACACAGAGACTTCTCCAGTTACACCGGTTTGCCTCTCCCAATACAGAGAGCAGTTACTGCATTTTCTAGCACTAGAACCAAAACGGTATTTTTTTCTTGTTTGCACCGAGAAATGTTGCACTCAGTGTAAATTTTCACCAATGCTTTACCCTCTCCATGAAGTGTAAGCTTTGAATTGTGCAGAGCCTGGTTTTGCCCACACTTTTCCCAGCACTGCTGGGTGAGGTGCCGGGGTGGCTGTGGACGCCTGAGGTTTGGAATGTGTGTCCCTGTCAGTCACAAAACCAAAACAAAAGACCCTGATCCTCGAGTTTTGTGTTCATGTAACTTCTAACCAAGAGCCAGACCTTTAAACCCGTCTCGTCCCTGTGACACCCCGTTCTCAGAATGCCCTGTCCCGACTGTACGCTCTCTCCACAGCCCTGAGGAAGGTATCGTATCTGGAGCCATTGTACTGATGAAAGCCTTCTGGTAGCAATAAAGAAAGTTGTCCTGGATTCCCAGTCTGGTGTTGTGCTTTTCATCCGAGACCTGGATCAGTTTTACCCAGATGCTGCCAGGGAGTTGCTCTGTGCCAGACAGCTGACAAAGTGCCTTGAAGTGCCTTCAGGGGTGCTGGGCAGAGTCACCAACGTGAACTTGTTGCCTCCAGCAGTTCTGGCTTTAGCCCCAGCTCTGGTGCTCCTCACTCCTGGCTCTTCCCTTTCCAGGCCGAGTGCATGGCTGGAACACTGCTCCATCTCCCATCCTGCCCTGTGCCTTCCAAGGTGCCATCTTCTTGTTGTGCACAGACCACCACAAGAGCCTTCCCACAGGTTCCAACTCTTCCTGCTTGTGTCCTGAAAAACCCCTCCCCAGGCCATATTTCTCAGAGGGGGGTGTGTCTTCCTTCCCTTCCAGCCCTTCCTGCCATCCTTATGCTATTTCCAGACCCTGACCTTCTCATCCAGTGGCTTGGTTTTCTCCAGCCAGGCTGCTGTGCAGTCCTCTGGGGGTGTCAGCAGCACAGCCCCAGCAAGGCACCCTGTCACTGCAGAAGAGCCCCAGCTCCGATGCTCTCTGCTTCCAGCTCACCTTTTCCAGTTAACTTACACTGGCTTCCCTCCCAGGTTGAAGGGCACGTTCCCCCTTGCCCCACTGGCACATCAGCACACAGGCACTTGTGAGGATCACAGCCCAATCCCACCACAGGGTCACCGCCCAGAACCCTTCCCAGCCCCCCTGTGCTGCCCGGAGCCGCACAAGCCACAGCACTGACTCGGCAAGCTCCTGGGAGGCAAAACCCTGCAGAGGCAGGACTCGGTCTCCCTCACTGCCAAGTGAGTGCTTTCCTGCTCCCAGCCCCAAACACAAGCACCCCCCAGCCCCAGTGAGTTGCAGAGACAGACAGACACTTTATTTTGCTGGCACTATGCACAAGCCCACACCAATGATCTTGTACCAGACAACTCAAAGAAAAAAGGCTCAGCCACAAACCCTGTCCCTGGTCTGTGTGACCCACCTCTGCAGTGTCCTGCTGTCCTGGCACAGGCCCTGGACACCTATGGGCAGCTCCCTGGCTGTGCTGCCTGCACTGGTATACACGTTTACAGTGCTCCATGGCAAACGAGGTGACCTTCAGACACAGCCTTACCTTGGAAAATGAGTCATCCCAGCAAGACCAGCTCCCCCATGTAGCAGGTCCAGCTGATTTGGAAACAACTCACATGGCCAGAGACAAAAGCCGTTTCCCACTTCCCACATTTCCTCCCCAAAAAACCCCCAGACAACGTCTCCTCCAAGCTGCCCCCCCATCACCTTCAGTAGCTGGCTTGTACGCAGCTCTCGCTGTCGGAACACAGGGCTGGCCTGGAGTGCTGCCAGGGCTCCCCGTTTCCCACAGGAAAACCTTCCCTGATGTGCCCTTGTCTCCTCATGTTCCTGCGACCTTCCCACAAGCTTCACAGCATCCCAGTGCTCCCCACCACGGACCTGCCCAGGGTCTGCCTGCTCCAGCAGGGCCCAGCCCAGCACACAGGACAGGTGAATGGTTGGCTGGAGAGGAAACCAATTCCCAGTTGCAGGCTCAGCTCCCTGCTGCCCTCTCTCCCTCATGAGCGCTGGGATAACACCACTGCATTCACAAACCCCAGCACGTTACTGCTCAGTCCCCAAGCCCAGGGAGCTCCCCAGGGCACGGCAGGGACATCCCAGCAGAGCACTGCTGCTCCTTTCCAATGCCTTCAGCCATAAACCCTCCCCTGCAGCACCCCAGCTTCCCTCAGTCCCCTGAGGATTTGCTCTGAGGATGTGAGAGCACAGATCCCATCCAGCAGCCACACGAAAGAGTTAAGCCCAAAGCATGATTTTTAACTCAGACACCCACTCCCTCCAATGGAAGAAGTGGCTTTCCCAGCTCTGCTGGGGACACCTGGTGACAAATAACCTCTCTGAGCTGTCCTCAACAGGTTTCACGTTGCCACCCTCTCCCCACACTGGCACCTCTTCCCCAACAGCCGCAGCCACGGAGGCAGCAGCCCAAGGGCACGTTGCCATCCCCTCCCCAGCCCCAGGGTGTGGGGAAGCCTCCACCACCCTCACAGCTCAGTCTCACTGTGACACCGGCAGGGCCTTCTGCTCCCTTCCCTCTGCCCCAGTACCCACCACCACTGGATTACGGCTGTCAGATGTTTCACCTTGTTTTCCCTATGGATCTCTTCTCCCTGAGTTCACCTTTAAAAAAAAACACCCCACCAATCAACCCCAAAACCTTCTGCTGACATCATCTGCCTCAACAACCTGAGGCAACAAATCCCACAAGTTTAGTACCTGCTCCTTAAAAGTTACTCCTCTGGTCTAGTTGTGACGATTTGCTGACTTAGCAGGTTGGCACCCAGCGCCATCATAACTTGAAAAGCTCTGCAACAAGAGTCACAAATAAATCTGGGCTGCAAGGGACCTCTAGAGGACATGTGCTGCCACCTCCTGCTCACAGCAGGGCTGATCCTCCCTCACCTCTGCCTTTCCCTGGCCAAACTGAGCCTTCTCACCTGGCAGCTGCTGCTCCATCCCATTTACCATTAGTGCCCTTCTCTAACTCCACTATGTCCTTCTGGAGACACGAAGTCCAGAGCTGCAAGCAGGACTCAAGGCACCAGCACAGCAAAACTCTTATAGAGCTGCAAAATAAAGGCAGTCTGTGTAAGTGTTGGTATTTGGTTTGTGCTTCTCTTTAGATTAAGCTTTAAAAAAATTCCCATATGGAGTTTAGAAGCCACTGGGGAAAAAAGGGTTTTACCCCTCTTCTGACCTTCTTGCCACAGCAGCACTACAGGTGGGTCACCCAGAGCTGAGCCCCTGCAGGGGACGAACCACCACCTCCCCCAGTCCAGCCCAGCACCTCCCAGGGGCAGAAGAAATGCCCCAGAAACCATGGTCTGGAGAGCAACTTGCAGACTCCTACTCCCACATAAAACCATCCTACAGTTTTTAAATATAACAAAAAAGTCCAAGGAATGAGAGAAACATAACAGTTGGAGAATTGCACAGCTTCCTAGATCCGGCCATCTCGAGGGAAGCACTGGTGGTGGGAGAGCAGGTACCACCTGAGACCTCTGCAGGCTCTGGTTTGGTACTAATGCAAATGCTGTCCCAAGCCACGTTTGTGCAAATACTGATAGCCCTGCGCTCTGAGCAGTGGTCAGCAGGGCCAGTTACACACCAGGCAAATCAGCACAGCACACGCAAAAGGCCAAACACTTCACAACCTTTCTGACTGTATCTATAAAGTCACTGGGCTGGTTACAAAGATTTCCAGGATGAGCAGTTTTCCTTCCACCCGGCTGGAGGGAGCCGACCCTTGTCACTGGAAAGTGCTACAAAATATTGTGCTTCTGAAAAAAAACCCCCAGCAGATTTCAGCAGAGCCTCCCAGCAGCCTGCACATCACACAGGGGAGAAGCCAAACCTAGACCATTTCCCGGTTAAAGGAGGGGAATTCCTTGATTAAGGTTCACAGATGCAAAGAGTCAGTCACTAGTATTCGGTTAAAAATAAAAGTGCATCACTCCACAGGAAAAAACATCCCAAGAAGCTCAGGCTGCCTCCTTCCCTCTGTGCCAAACCAGCTGGAGATCACTACACACCACACTTACAGGCTTTGTTTTTACCTTCAACCAACCCTTTGGCACTTCTCAAGCTTTTTGACTGAATTCAATTTCAAATAAACAAGGTACAAAGTTGAACAACTTGCCCACACTCAAGACTGCTAAAAAAATAATTGCTAACCAGGCTTCATGAAAACAAAGCGAAGCCCTCAATCTAAGTACAAGTCAGTGCAGTTCGGCTGTACAAGAAAATCCTACTTTGCTACATCAGCCAGAAAATAAGGCCTTGGCTGTCCAGAACAGGCTCCATCAGCACCACAGGGCACAGCATCCACCAGCCCCACTTCACACAGTGACATACAGAGAACATTCCCGGGTCTACAGACCCATTTCCAGCCGTGTCAGAGGAGCACAGGATGGCCCTGGCATGAAGCTGTGGTATCCAAAGCAGCCAGACTTGAGGCAGAAATGAAACCCTCCAGCTACGCACACTCACCCCCAGTCTGTCGCTATTTGTCATCAGCAACGTGTGCATATTATGGCAAAAGGTGAGAAAACAGGGAGGGAGGAAAGAAATCCAACTAACCCAGTGCAACGTGGGCCATTCCGGCCGTTACCTCTGGCAGCCCGGGAAGCCTGGACGCTGTCGGAGCCGCGCCGGGAGCGACAGATCCCGCACAGACACACAGCACAGCGCACGGGAGGGAACAAGAGGGAAGGAGAGGAGGGCGGACGAGATGGAGGAATGAGATGGCTCTTCTCCTGGCAGGGCTGCCCGTAGCCGCAGGCTCTTCCAGTGCCCGACAGCCCACCGGGAGAGGGGGTGTGGGGGCTTTGGCAAGGTGACGGTTACATAAAGAAGAAGCTACAGAAAAAGAGAAAAAACAGAAGAGAGAAGAAACAGAGGTTCAGAATTGAAATGAAGGGGTGAGAGAGGGGGGGGATAAAGGAGGAACAACATTTTAAAGTAAGTCATGAAGGAGGGAGTGCGCTGGGGAGGTGCCACACACACCAACTCCATTGGGGATGCCCGAGCTCCCCAGGACACCGGGAACACCCACACAACACCACAGGAAGGGACTGACAAACACCAGCACGAGCCCACAGAGGCACCTCAAAGGCACAGAACGATCTGCTGGGAAGGCAGAGGGTGACAGGTAACCCTCCAGTCACACTGTTACACAGCAAATGTCACAAAGGCCACGCAAAGACCAAAGCTTTGGGTAAAAATATATTTCCTCTCCCCACTTCAAGTGTTGGCACTATTTGGATCTGTAACCTGAAGCACATACAAGAAATAACTTGAGCTTATGCTCTAAGGTTATTATTCCATCTGTAATTCCAAAACTGAAATACTTTCACATCAAATAAAGTGACAATATCTAACAGATGCATACATATCACTTGCATTAACACTGTATGTCGGTTACACAATTATTTAGTTACAAACACGGGTTATTTTCCAATAGCAAGGTAATAAAGTCCTACATCTATGGTTTAAGGCAATCAGGATATTAAAAATGTATACAAATACAAGATTTCTACCGCTGTTCACAGCTTTATTTTCCGTGAATTAAAAAAACCCCTTCATATTTGTACAGCTCCTTGCTGGATATCACACACCGCAAATGCAACCTGGGCCCTCGGAGAAGGAACACACCCCCCCTCTTCCAACACCTCCGAAGGGCAAAGGGAACTGGAGCCAAATGGACAGATCTGACATGATCACACACAAAAAGACACTTCCATCCACACTTGGACGGTTTAGGAGAAGCAGAACAAGAGCTGCCTGGGGAAACACCGCTCGTGGTAAACACAGACACGTGTCCAGAGAGACACCGATCTCCTGGTGGGATTTCAGGCTGGCTGTGACAAGGAGCCCAGGGTGGGTGCCAGGCACTACTTTCCCTGCTCCCAGAGACCCCGTGCCACAGGAGATGCAAGACAATGCATTTAATGACCACGAGCTCAAAGGGATCCTTCCCACTTAACTGCCCTCCCAGAAAGGAACTGTGCAAGCCCCGGATGGTTCTGGGGGAGCAAATCCTCATCTGCCTCCTCCTTTTCGTCTGCCTGCCAGACCCACGGGTGCCCAACCTGTACAGAGCAGTCACAGCCCCTCTCAGCAACCTGACTGTGTTTTTCCATCCCAGGGGTTTGTTTCATGCCCTGGGAACACCACCATCCCAGAAAATGCAAGTTTCAGTGCGCTTTCCTGATCCTTTACAGGAGACTGAGGTTTGAAACGCAGTCAGGAGCACACAGCATCATCAGCTCCTTATCATGGCTGTCTAATCATGTTCCATGTGGCAGGGCCTCCCAAGCAAGGCTTTGCCCAACCATGTGTCCAGCTTCTGGCATGCAGGGAAGCTGCCCAGGGATCTAGGCAGCTCTAGGCATCCAACAGGAGCTGGATGTTGTGCTCCCTACAGCTTTTCTACAACAGCTCAGCACAAGCAGCCTGCAGACAGTTTTAGGGGGTTTTAGCCATGCCACTTGTAAGGAAGTGGACTTAATCTCCCAGAAAAGCACGACTGGTTTCCTGTCAGGAGCGAGGCAGGAAGGTGAGTCTCTTGCTGCTGTACTTACATGCAAAGGTGAAAGCACATCCAGCCAGCCCTGAGTGTATCACTCACTCCATGCACACCAGGGGCTACTGTGAAAAAAGGCATTAGAAAGAAAAGCAAGAAGTGCAGCAGTGACAAGCTAAACATGGCCCAGGGGTTTAAGGTGAAAAAAAGAAGTCATTATCATCTCCTGTGGTAAAAAACAAAACAATACCTTGGACATCTGCAAGCTTGTGGTTTATTCCCAGTTTCTCCAACACAGCTTGCTTTTTGCTGGAGAAAGAAACTCAACCAAAAAGTCATTAATGCACTTGGCCACTGCTTTCTGTCAAAAAGCAAAAGCTCAACTCAGCTGATTTCCCCTGCTAAACATCCCTTGAAGGGCTGTTAAATGAAGCAGTACAAATAAATGTTAAAATTAAGTTTGCAACTTGGCACAAAACACTGGTAATTAAAAAGAGGACATGCACAGAGACAGCTGAAGTGAAGCATATTGCCACGAGCACTCGGTGATGGGCATGTGATTGGACTGTAAAAAACTCATGCAAACAACCCAAGCTTCTTCCTTCATAACTTAAGATTTGAAAGCTGGGTTTGCCAAAAGCCACAAGGACCAGAATTTCATTTTTCCAAACAACCCTGCAGCAAACCTATTTAACATGGCAAAAAGTGCATTGCTGGCAAGAGCAGGAGGTAAAAAAAAAAAAAAAAAGAAAAAGAAAAAAAAAGAAAAGGATAAAAGAGTCAACCATTTTATTTCCAGCTTACTTATCCACTTTTCTTTTCTGTCCAAGACATGGCATTTAGATATCCTCTTCCCAAAGCCATGTTTAAGCAGCCAGGGTTAAAAGCAAGACAACCCATAAGCTAACCCCCCCCAGCACACTTCTCAACAGCAACACCTGAGGAAGAAGTAATAAAAAAAGAGATAATTCTACCCTTTTTTTTCCCCTGGAGAAATTCCATCCAGAAACAAGCAAAGAGCTGCAGTGTGTGAGACTCAGGTGGGAGGAGTTATGTGTAGGAGTGCTTTAAAGAAAGGAAAGGAGACTCCCCAGCCAGGAGCAGAGCAAGTGCTGGCTGTGCATCAGCAGGAGAGAAAGGAACCCAGGGGTCATTGGATAAGCCTGGCTCGCCACTTCTGGGGAAGGAAGGGAAAGACTCTGTCCAAAAGCAATGGCATAGAAAATACACATTAAACAGATCCCCTTCCACCCTGTCCAGAGCAAGGCCTGGCTTATCCTACATGTCCCTGGCACGTTCAAGGGACACCTGAACGGAACACTGCCCCTGGTGCAGGAGGGCTGGTGGGGAGCACAGAGTGTGTCCGGGTACCTTCTCTCCCTTGACCTGGAATTGTGGATCCCACTGCAAGTCTGTATTTAACTGTGTGCAGGAACGCTCCTGGAGGCTCTAAGAGGATGTTGAAGGCTCTATGTCCCCCCTGCCCAAGCATTTGGTTCCACAAGGGCTGCTAACCCGTTGGAAACCAGGTAGGATTTTAAGGGAGGTTCCAAAGGTTTCGAGCAAGTACTGCAGGGACAGCAGTGCTGGGAATGCTCCTGCCCCCGGGCACCCTCAGCTGCTGGGCTGAACTGGAAGGGTGGCTGTGAAAAACAGGCCAGCACAGGACAACAAACAAACCCGAGCCACAGTCAGGTCAGACAACAAAAACAGCAACTAAAACACATTATCATGCAAATGTCATGGCATGCAGGGTCAGTTACACTGGGTTATCTACACACACCCCCCTCCCTCTCCCCAGCAGCTACTGCTGGAACACATCAGCTACTCCAGGAATATGGGCCAGGCTAAACTCCAGGTTTAGCCACTGCCATGGGCTGGTTGTGACATTCCTACAGCAGCGATTCCCTGGGGCTGGTTTCTGCCAGTCCAGGGGCTCCCTCAGCACAGGTTACTGCAGCACTGAGGACACCTGAGCAGGTCAACGCTGCTCACCCGAGCTGCTGACACCCAGCCCTGACTCTTGGTTAAACTGGGGGCCAAAACTGATTTACAGCTGATGGTTTTGGTGACAAAAACACACGGTATCGTTACCTTGTCCCTCCACCCGCCCCTGAACTTCCAGTTGCATACAGTCCTGTACCCATCCCTCTTCCTTCTTGTTCCCCCTATGTTATTAGATGAGTTATTCATGTTAAAAAATGAAAAAAGAAAACCAAAAAAGAAAAAGAAAACAGATGGCAGAGACACATTACTGCAAAAGCAGGTGAATGCAGGAACATCCTTGGCTCGACAGGCTTTATGTGAAGCTTGCACTGCAAGTTAAAAAAAGAACAAAAAACAAAAAAGTTAGCACTAATTGAACTCAAAATGAAAAAAAAAAATAAAAGAAAGCCAGGAGAGCCGACACCAGCAACTTGCTCCGGTGGGTGGGCATGCACACGGATTATGGAATTACAAAGGAATTCAACCTCAAGGCCAGGCTCTACTCCAGCCTATGACAAGCAAACGTAGAAAGAAAAACCAAGGGGCAGAACTACCGACCAACCAACCATGTAAGCTGGGCCAGAGCAGCCATGGTGGACTGAAAGCTTACATAGAAAGGAACTTGAAAAAAAAACAAACCAGGTCTTACATTTGGTTTACAGAAATAGGTTGAAATAAACTGAAACAGCCCCCAAACAGATGGTCCCAGCTCCTGGGGGCTGAGGGTGAGCAGTAACACAGCGGTACATGCTGAGGCATGTGGCCATCTCCCAAACAGCAGGCAAGCACCAGAAGGCTGTTGGCTGCTCTGATTTGGGCTATTGCCAGGAACTGCCTCCAGGCTGTACAGGTTTGAAGCACAGCCCCATCCCAAAATTACAGCAGGGGCTCGGTGAGTATGCTCAGCCCCACGTCCAGGTGATCACTCAAGTACACCTCTCCAGTCACCCCTGCAGTGTCTGGGGTATGCAGATGTGCTGTCCCCAGCACAGCACACTGCTGCCATCAGGCCAGGGCCCCAACAATTCTAGATTAAAAATGAGTACAAGCTAGGAAACTTCTGGAGGAATTGTCTGGAAATCAGGAAGGCCAAGCTCTCCCTCAGGAAGTCAGGCCACCAGCAGCAGATTTCACCCTGAGCCTTCCCTCCGGCATGTACAGCACAGTGGAAAGTCTCTGTTCTCCAAGTTGGAGAAATCTGATCCCACCTTGAGGAAAAAAAGCATTCCCGTGATTTACTTTCTGGGGAGGCTGCAAGCGTCAGGCATGGCAAGGAATTCCTCTGGCAACTGCACAAGAAGCACCACAGGCCATGTCAGCAGAGAGAGAGAGGATGGAAGCCTTTAACCACACAAACTGCAGCTGCTCATCAGAGTGCAAGGAGAAACTCAAAGCCTTTGGAAACCCAAGGTGTGCTACAGGGCAGAAGCATCAGCACTTCCCTTGAAAGCCTCCGTTAGTAACTGCGACACTAAAGGACAACGGCAGCAGGTACAGCACCTGGTGTGGAGCACAAAGGACACACTAAAACACGGGGATGTTCCTCAGGGCGGGGTGTCTGTGAATGCATCAGCAAAGCAGAACCTGTGTTGGTCACAGTCGCTGGAAACATCCCTGTCTCACCCATGTCACTGTGCACGTGCCAGCCAACCTCCCAGGAGCAAAGAGTAGCTACACAGAGAGACAGAACTCCCCAGACCGTTCTGCACTGCACTGGTCTCCGATCTAAGATGAAAAATCTGACTGCAGAGGTCTTAAAAACATTAAGCTACCAACTCTGTAAAGAGATAAGAAAGAGGGCCTTCAAAACTTTCTATTCTTTCTAGAAAATACATCACCATGTCTGAATTCTCAGGTGAGAGAAGACAGGGTTTTCAGCCTATCCTGCTTACAGCCACGGCTGCAGGAGGGTGTTTCACCATGCCTGGACCCCACGGGTCCGTGAGGATTCCTAGCCAAGCAGAGCATGCAGCACACAGCACTCCTCGTATTCCAGCGGGTGCCCAGGGCCAGGTTCTCAGCCAGCATCGAGCAGCAGGGCTCCATAGGAGCTACATCAATTGACCTCAGCTGAGGAACCGGCCCCAGGCCCTCCCCACCTTCCCCGGGGCAGAAGCAACAACCGCTGGGCACCGACCCAGCAGCAGGGACAGGGGACATGCAGCGAGGGTGAAGTGCCAAGCTGTACAAACACACCAGTCCAGCTGCAGTGCGAGTGCCCCTCCTGGGCTCGCCCTCTCACACAGCTCACACCAGGCTTCACAGCTCCCAGCTCAGCGAGGCAGACACAGGTGTCTGTGCCACATCCCCACTGGCATTTGGTTCTTCCAGCGTTAATTGGAAGGAACACCCCCCCTGCTCTCTCGGCCAGTAAAAGCAGTGTAGAACTGTCATTTTTGTGTGTGGGTTAACCAAGTGTTTTCCAGGGAGATTTGCTGCACCCCCCCCTCGACAGCTTTCCCAAGGGCAGGTACCAACTAGCACCGTTAGCACAGATGGCCCAGGAAGGACTTGCATGAGCACCCTTTCACTAGGAATGGGCAAAGCCAACAGAGGGTATGGGGTTACACTCCTAGGATATGGATATAAAATAGTAAAAAACATGATCTTTCTAAAAGGTAAGGGTTTCTTAGCTTATTATGTCAACTCCGTACAACCACAAATGCCATTTAACTGCAATTACGGTACCATAGTAGTTTGGTTTTTTTTTTTAAAAAAAACCAAAGCTTCTTGTCTTTAAAGCAAGCTTCCAAGTAATCACTTTTGGCACTAGCATTTCCCATGTAAAAACAACATGGTGGTTTTGGTTTCTAAGCTACTTCTACTTACAACTACAACCTTAAGGAATGGGAACTGGAGACCACCGGTGAAAGAAAGGACAGGTAGTGACTCCCTTAATAATTTTGGCTCAGGCAGATAAATCTGAGTCCAGAACATCTCACAGCTGTTCCAGAAGATGCTGGACAGATCACAAGTCAAACCTCCACCATCCGACTGCTCTCCCACACCAGTCAGACTTCAACTTAAAATTTGAAGGTACTCTTCTAGAGAAAAATTAAGATCATGTCCCCGGCCCACCCTTTAGAAAAAAATATTTTATTTGATCAGGCTGACAAAAGCCCTGTTTCCAGTCTGGTGATGGGAAAAAGCAAATACAGACATGCAGCAAGAAGAAAAAAAACAACCTCCCAAAACTGTAACAAACCCTACAAAGGATGTGGGTGACATCCGCTTACTTTTTCTTGTCCTTGTCTTTCTTGGTTTGTTGAGAACCTGCCTGCTGAGCCTGTGACTGTAACAGCTGAGCTGCCGCCTTCTTCTTCTGGAAGTTGTTCAGCTCTTCCTCGAGTTCCTTCTTTTTGTCTTCCACTTTCTTCTTCTCTTCTTGGTGAGTCCTCTTTAGATGGTCAAACTTTTCATGAAGCTGCCGGGACAGAGACAATGAGAACCGGACAGGAAGAGAGGCACGTTCCACCCCCATTCCTGCTAAGGATGCCTGCAGTGTTCCTGCTGGCACTGAGCCTCCCTGCATTAACAGTCAGTCACTGGCCTGTCCCTGCCTGACTTGTCCTGCAGTCAACACACACTTGCACACACAAAGGGTGGAAATTTCTGTTGCTGTAGGTACAAAACAGGTCTCTGGACACTTCCAAACCCCCACGTTCCATCCCCCACTGCTTTATACCAACTGGACTCCATCATGCTTGTGCCAAGCAAGAAAACAGCCATTGAGGGCCATACTTTTCTCTGTACCACACGCTCCTCTGTGAGGCACGAGGAGCAGCTCCCTCCCCTAGCAGGACACATTCTGGAAAAGCCCCAGCCTAAACCCTCACAGAGTCCCCCGAGTTACAACAGACTCACATCTTTCTCCGCTTCCTTCAGCTCTGCTTCCTTCTCCTTCACTCGCATGACAAACATCTGCCTCATTTCATCCTCCTTCTTCTGGAGTTCGCCCAGGAATTCATTCCTCTTTGCTTCATAAGTCTCTTGGAGACTGTTGAAAACACACAGAACCCCGTCAGAGCCGTGCTTCACGCACAGCCACGAGCTCCCAGCCTTTGGTGACCTTACACTTGGGTTGTCTCGTCACAAAATATCATCAGAGGTCCCCGAGTACCACAGAGGCACGATCCCCTCCACCAAACCCCGCCCCAGCTCGCTAGATGGCAGCAGTGGGAGACAAATGGAAAAGGAACCGCCGAGCTCCCTGACCAGGATCCTGCACATCACTGAGCAGGCACGATGACTGTCCAGCCAAGCAGCCACTATGTAAGCGCCTATACCAACCCCCGATGCCCACAGGGCTTGTGATCCGCCTGAGTCACACCCTCTCCCTTCTCCCACTGTTTGTGCTGAGTCTCGTCATTCCAAGTGCAGGATTTGTGGAGCAGGCACAGTGTGAAATCTGGCTTCGTGTACTTCTTTAAGCTCGACGCTGACACACAGCAAAACTCATTTTCACTACTCACTGCTAATGGATTCGGATCAGGGGCTTGATCATATAAAGCCACCTCGGGAGACCCCTCTTTCTCCTTTGGCCTTTCTGAACAAGCATCAGCCTCCTCCTCCAAATAACCACATAACTGGGTTCCCTCCTTCCTTAATCCCCCCTCTACTCCTTGGTGTTCCTGTATTTCCCCAGCACTGAGATAGGCAGCACAGATTTGGGACATAAAATATGCTGTCCATGCACCTCTGAGATTTTCAGAGCCTGTCAGGAACTCCGGATGCCAAATTCCTCTTTATTTTATTCCTTAAATGGATTTGGACAGCCCAGCAGTAATGATAGTGTGGGAATGATAACTATTTCCCCCAAGAGGCTTTTCTGAAAATGCATTTTTTAAATGAAAACTCCACTGATAACACACAGACACACTGTATCCATGTGCCCAGGGAACCACTGGGCCAGGGGAACATCCTAATTCCAATAAAGTCAAGCTTTTGTCTTTCCTGGCAGTGTTGGGTTTTTTGGTGGCTTTTTGTTGCTTGATTTTGTTTGGGGGGGGGTTGGATATTGAACTAGGGAACAGAACTTGACAGATTACCCCAAGCGTTTAATTCTGCTAATTGACAGGCACTTCAGTTGCCTCCTAAAATACTCTCCAGACAGGATGCCCAGAGCTCTTCTGGCAGAGCACTGGCCGCCCTGGAGGAATCACACCATTCCAGACGACCACAGCAGCTTCCCACACATGGAAGCAAAAATACTGACTCTAAAAATGACAAAAATCCTTTCATGGGAGGGCAGGGCAAGAGCCATCTTTGGTTCTTCACTAAATCCAGAACCAGATCTCTCATAGCAGAAGGAGATCTGGAGATTTGAATCAAAACCTCCCTAAAATTCAGTCTTGGATTTAATACTCTGATTGTGGACACAAATTCCTAAGCCCTTCTGAAGGATCTGGCTAGAGCCTAGGAAAACCCAGAGGGCAGGTGAGCCTCTGCTGCTCAGTGAGCACAAACTGAATCTGCAATTAGTGACACGCTGTACTAGGGAGCAGCAGAGCCTTACAGACCAAACCAGAAAGCTCTGCACGCTGTTCATCCCATCCTGTATTGCAAACATCCCTTGCAAAGCTCATTCCCAAAAGTACAATGCTGGGTGATGGACAAGCAGGAAAAGGCTGCCAGGAGCCAGGGGTGCAGGGGCTTCCTGTTAAATTGTCCCAGGTTCAAAGCTTCATTCTCTGCTGCAGTGACTCCGAGTTCAGAGGAGCCAAGTTCTCAGAGAAACTGGCCTGGCAACTCCCAGGCTGCATGTGAAAAAAACAATTACAGCCCCAAGGAATAACAGTCCAAACCAACTGGGATCCCTGCAGCTTCTCACAGACAAAAGATGACAAGGGAATTAGCTTTTTAAGTACACAAACATATGAGCCCAGATTACAAGAGTAACTCGATTCCCCAACACGCCCCCACACACAGAGGGATGCCCTGGCAAATAATATTCCTTGAAAAGAGATGTGTTTTGAAAAGGTTAACCAGAGCAGCAGAGAAACCAGCCCACAGCAGAAGGGTCTCTGTGCAGAGGACCCCATTTCATGGAGCAGATGCCTGTGGGGATCCTGGTGCTGCTCCCTCCTCACCTCCCGCAGCTGGGCCAAGCAGGGGGGGTTCTGCCAGCAAGGTGGGGGTCTCAGCCATCACCAATCCCCCTTTTTCACACCTCACACAAGCGCCTATACAGCACCAATGGTTTGCTGGGCTCTTCTGCCCTGCTGCCCCTGAGATTTTCCAAAGGCTCCCTGCCCCTGGCTGATGCAAGCTGGCCAAGGAGCAGCAGCCCCTGTGGCTCCCCGGGCCCCAGTGCAGGGAAAGGCATCCTTTTGATCCCTGAGCTCAGAGAGAACATCTTCCTCATATCAGATATACATCAGCCTTGGCCAAACAGCTTGGGATCATGGGGTTTGTTTGTTTATTGGAGGGAAAAGGCACCCAGAGGGAACTGCTCTGAACTAGCACGTACCAGATGGAGAAATTCTGTACATTTTCATTTCCTTTCTACTTATAGCTTGGTCAAAGAGAGGCCTCGTGTACAGGAAGCAATGGAAATTCCTCAGATTCCTCAAAAGGAAGGGTTGAGCCCATCTTAAGCCCTTGCTCTCCAGAAAGGAAATCCAATAAAGCTTCACACTTGGGCTTAGTAACAGAACTGGGCTTGACTGATTCCAGCAGAGTGTCTGTGCTGCAGAAGAAATGCAGCTGCATCAACTCAGCCTGTCAAATAAAACCCCAAACCAGCGCCAATCCCTGACACTCACGGGTGTTATGGGGGTAAAACCCCCCACTGATGCACTTGAATTCTGACTGGGGCAGAGAGGAGCGTGGGATGCTGCTAAGGCAGAGGGTGCAATTATTGGGGAAAAGTTGGGGAGGAATGGGAAACAGGAAACGAGAGGAGAAAACAAACACTCCCTCCCGAATTCCCACACAGCTGTTGTCCCTGGCTGATGACTTGGGCTTCAGACCAACAAAGCTGTCTGACAGAATAAACTATGTGTGTAGTAACCAGCCAAACCTCAAGCATGAGACCATGGCTCCCTCTTCACAGCTCACCTTGGTGCAGCTGTGAAAAGCTGTCGGAGGGTCAGAGAGCGCTGATCCCAGGATCTCCCCTCCGGTGAGCCGCTACACCTCAACGCACGAGTCACCCTCCCGCGTTTTCCCTGACACGGCTGCCCTTTCCCTGCCCAGGAAGTGCCCAGCCCTGAGCTGCAGCACAGCAGGTGGCTGCAAAGCACAGCAGTGTCGTACAGGGCCCTACCTGAAAGGCTTGCTGTCCGGATCCGTGTCCTTGAATCCCATCTCCTCCAGCTTGCAGCGCCGGTACAGCTCGTAGTGCCGGGTGTGCGTCTGCTCTCTCAGGTCCTCCATGTTCACTCGGATCAGCATCTCCCGCAGCTTCACAAAGTCACAGTGATTTTCATTTTCAACTGCGAAGACAACAGAGCATCCACAGAGATGTTACACTCAGGGGGTGGGTCCCCCCTTTCCCTGGATCTGGGCCCCAGTTCGGCAAGCCCTGAGTTCTCCAGGCACTCAAGCAGAACTCCAGGTCAGCCTGAACCAAAATGTCTCGATGGCCCGGGGGTGAAACTACCCCACGCCAACACAGGCATGAGTTCGAGGCCTTCCCCTGGATTTGAAAAATCTCCCTGCTGCCCATCTGTCACAGAGCTCCCACCCCTCCGTGCATTTTTGCACCAGCAAGGTGATGATCCACTTGCACAGAGGATTTCACTTCCCACTCAGACCCAATCTAAATCCTAGCACTCACAGGGGACCGAGCAGGCAATGCCTAAACTAAACCTCTTAAACCATCCAGGTCCCAGTTTCCTGGGAACAGCAAGAACCCAGCAGGATGTGTTGAGTCCAAGACTTCCCAAACATATCAACTTCTTTCCTAACTGTTTTTCCCAGTACTATCCTCTGGTGTATACAGCTGAAGACAGTAAGTCTGAAGCTGCTTCAGGGCCAGCTTGTACCATTGAGAATTTGGAGAGTATTGCAGAATTGCCCTGTGAATGTTCCCCTGCAGCTCCCTGGGCCATTATCCAATGGGATATACAGCTGAAGCCACAAGCAGACTGTCACCATCTCAATCCTGTACTTCTCAGTGCTGGTTGGGAAGTGAGGATCAGCCCTATATCTTTGGCAGCTTCAGTACAGCCTGGGTTGCAAACAGTGCCCTGGCCAAACTCTGCTCTCCTGCAGGAAAGAGCTTTTGGCTCCATGTCCAGATCTGGGCTGTGCTTTCTCAAGCCAAGTTTTGACAAGGACCATCCAGAGATCAGTGTGCCTTTGATCGGAATGGGACAGGATGACAAGGCCTTTTCTGTGCCTTTGGTAACATACCCTGCACGACACCCCAGGGGTACTGCCTGGCTTTTGCCATCTTGTTGCCAATCTTCACTTCTTCGGTGCTGCCAACAACAGCAAAAGGAAGGTGGACCTATGAAAGGAAAGGGACAATGAGGTTGGGGGTTTCCTTTGCTGCCTTGCCAGGGATTGTTTCTCAAGAAAGCTGTTTACTGTGGCAGCTCTGCTGGATTTAAGTTGCTTCAACGCCTTTGCAATTCATCTGTTGTTTTAGGGAGAGCAACAGGACAATCTGGATGAGAAACCTGATCAGACTTAAAGCCCAAAATTCTGATGGCCTAAGAATAAAAGAGACATACATATTTTCCATATAATTACAGAGCATGACTATCTTAAGCCCAGAACAAGTCTCACAAACTGGAAGTGAATTTGAACACTGAGGAGACAGAACTATGAAACAACAAAAAAAAGAAAGTACATTCTCCTGAGGAAAATTTTAGGGGGGTTCTGCTGCTACAAAGAACTGCTAATGCTTCCTCTTAAAAAGGGCAAAACTGTGAGCAAGGGGAAGAGCAGAGTCAACCCAGCCCTGGGCTGACACATCTGAGTCATGGAGCTCTGCTCCGTCCCAGTCTCCCCATGGGTGTGGTGGCGACAATCTGGGACCTACTCCCAGAAATGTGGCTGCTGCCAGCAGGGAGCTGGCCAGCCCAGCCCCATGGAGCTCTCCCTGCCTTAACAGCATCCAACAGGGCTGGGCACAAGCTCTGGGAGCTGTGTCGGCCAAGCCGTGGTCACAGGCTGGGTGGGTGGGGAAGATGTCAGGGCAGAGGAGATGGGATTAACTGGCAAAGGAGTTTCCCAACAGCCAGGCTGCACCAGAGGAAAGCAAAACACTGCACACAGTGTACCCTGGTAGAGCCATGTCCCTTCTCTGTGCCAGCTTCTCCCTGCTCAGAACACAACACACACAGGGAAGACAGGCAACAGGCACCTTTGGAGAAGGTCTAATACCCAGCTGGATGGGATAATTGCTCATCTACAAGCAGTTGTGTGAGGAAACTCAGAAAAGCCTTCAAGTAGCAAGGAAATGGCTTAATCTGAGCGCACTTGCCTTAGGGCTGGCACATCCTCTTGGCTGTTATGTGCCCCTCTAAAACCACCTAAAATGCCCAGACAACACTGCATGTCACTGCCAGCAACCTCAAGCTCAGGTTCTTCCCCTTGCACCCCAAGTTAGGACCATGGAAAACAGTGGTTTCCCCCTGTAAACTCCACTAAAATGTTTGGTCTACCCTAGCCCTGTGTGCCCTCAAATCCCACCCTCTGCTAGAGGAAGGGGAAGGAGGTGAAAGCCAAGCTGCTGATGGCCACCAGCCCCATGGAGAGCTGGAACATCACCGACGGTGCCCTGTTTTCTGTGGAAACCGAAACAAAGGCAGCAGTGAATCACCCCCCACTGAGCAACAAGTGGTCGTTTGGGACAGGAAACCCAAACCTCAGCTCCCTGCCCCGACTGTGCTGGGGCCCTGCCTCCCATCCTTTTCCTTTCCCGAGATGGGAACGCTGCAACTGGGGAAGGATATGAAAAAAATGCTCAGAGGAGACTCGTTTGTCAGACAATAAAGTGGATCGGGCCAGGTATCTCCAGCCCCACAGCCCTTCTGGCCAGCCTGGTGTCTGTGCTTAGACTGCAGTTTTAAAGCCAAATAAAATACGGCACAACCATCAAGGACGGGCCCTCCCAAAGGGGGAAGCCCCCAAGGAACCCCAGGTGACATACGCTCATGGTGGCGTTGATCTCGGCCACCGTCTCTTCGTCCGTGGGGAACTGGTAGATCTGGACGCCGTTGCTGACCAGCTCACTCATGATTTTACTCTTGAACTTGTGCAGCTCGTTTTTTGCAATGGTGTCAGCCTTGGCAATGATGGGGATGATGTTCACCTGCAGGACAGAGACAGCACCTCCACATACAGCACTGCACAGGTTGTGTCACCGGGAGAGGACAGAGCGGGACACGCAGGGACAGCCCTACCAGTGCCACCAGCCAGCACCCCCAGCAGATGACCTTCCCTGGGGCTGCTGCTGCCAGCATCACCTCAGACAGGATTTCCAGGCAGCAGTGATGATGGCTTTAAAAAGAAGTCAAATGCAATTTGGCAACATGCTATTTCCTGTCCTGTCATATTCCCCTCCTCATCTGAATTGGCTGGACAGGAAATGCTGTCACAGATTATTACAAACTGTTCCAAAAAAGAAAAAAAAAAACGAAGTGACCATCTAGGCACACCTCCTCACACTGCAGCAGGCTGGATTACTGCAGGAGCCTCCCTGGGCCAAGAGCCTGTCACAGGTGTTTGCTCGGGGGCTGCCATCAGGGACACTCGGGTGGGCAGCAGTGCTGCTGTCACCCCACGGGAGGTGGAAGCAGATGGTCCCTATCCAACCCTGTGACAGGACAGGGGCTGGCAGTAGCACAGCCACACTTCCCCCACCTGTGTGCCCTCACATGCCCCCAGACACGGCTGTACTGCAGGAGCAGGGCTCATTCCTCCCTGCACAGCTCCAAGATGAAAGATCAGTTACTGACTCTCTTCCCTAGACAGGCTGTTGGCAAGGATAAGGACCCTGCCCTTTTTCCTTTCTCATCCCTCCAGAGGGACAGTTTCTGCTTTTGATCATGCAGGATTTGTTTCTCCATGCAACAGCAGACAGAAATCATAGCGAGGATAAGTCGATACCACTGTTATATGAAGGGATTTTAAGTACAGCACTTGAAAATCCTCTTCTATTACACCACTTGATTGTGTTTGGAGGATGGTCTGGAGATATTAAATCTCCCTGGGCCAAAAGATAGAACACAAATGCCAATTAGGGTAAATCTCCATAACCCTATTTTCAGTTGAATAGGGCAGGGAACTTTCTCCATCACCACATAAAACCCAATCGATAGGCCCCTCTAGGAAATAAAGAGCCACTGCCACCAGTGATCTGCAGAATCAGGATCCAACGAGCCAAAGGTGCACGGTAGACAGATTTAAATTGCTTAATCATGATGTAAAGAAGCACAGACAAAGCTTAGTTTAACTACTCAGGCTTTACATTTGTACCTTGGTTATTCTTCTCAGAAAAGAGGTGAAACCTTTAAACCATGGTTTAAACCAAGAATATGAGGGTAACTGAAAAGCAGATGCCAAGTAACATATTTATTCAGATCCCTGTTTATGAGATTACAGTTAGAACACCACTCACATCTGCCACAGAAGATCAAATCACTGTTTGTGTCTAGCTGGATGTGGTCAGAGCAAACAGACACAGCACTTCCATTTGGTTTTCACTGATTAGTAAGACGACCTGAATTGTCCTTATTGACTTTATAGCTTAGCTGGGGAGCACAGGGCCAAGTTCCCAACCCGAGGCAGGGCTGGGAGAGGGGAGGAGTCCAAACTCTTAATAAATCTCTGAGCATGTGAAAGCAGAAGAATGACCCACTGTAGCAGCTTGCACCAGGTACACTTCTCACACACAGCCCCTCTGCAATTCTCCAGTGCTAAAAACACACATTATTCCCTGGTGGCAAGATAATAAAAGCACTAGTAGGGCCATGTGAGGGCCGTAACACAGGCAGCAAGTACCTTACTGTCGAGCTTCTTCATGGTGACCAGGTCCAGGGACTTGAGCGAGTGCCCGGTGGGCGCAATGAAGTAGAGGCAGGCGTGGATCCGGGTGTCGTGGTAGTTGAACAGGGACCGTTTGATCTTCAGCTCTTCTTGCAAGTAGGCTTCAAACTGTGCATCAATGTATTCTACTATGGGCTTGTAGCTGGAGAGAGGTGAGGCACAGAGAAATTGAGAATTGGCTACTGGGACAACACCGGGCACTGGTGGACACTCAGGCAGCCTCATGGGTGCTCTGGACCTTACGGGACAAGCTCGGCTTGTTAAGACCCTCCCCAGCAACCTCCAGTCCCTCCTAACAAGTTGTGTCTCCACGTGTGCACAGGCAAAGCATAATGGACATGACAGCAAGGTAACGTGGTAGAGACCCTGGATTTTAGGTGCATGGAAACCACACAAGATTGCTACCCTGAAAAACAAAGTGTTTGTACATCTCCAATTGAAGTCTGAGCTGCTGCTCTGCCAATCTCACTGAAAATCTTGAAAGAGGGAAGGGAGATTGACAAGAGGATAAAAAGGGCTTTTCAGGAATTGAAGCCTGTGAGCAAAGCTCAGGAGACAGCTGGGCTCGTGGACTTTGAGGGGACCATTTTGCTGAAGAAAAAAAAACCTTGTGCATTGTAACATATATGAAAAAAAATGTACAGCTTTGCATCCCATGTTACAGGTGATTTTCACTTTCTTCTGAAAAAGGGAGCCGTGCTTCTGGAAAAAACTAACTTTTCCATTTGTCCCCCCTCCACTAAGGGCAGCCTCATGGATATCACTGCACGGGTTTGTAACACGACTGCTGCTCTGATTTCTTGGCTTCTGGAAATTTTGTCTCTGACCATGAAAGCCCAAAAACCTCAGACAGAGACATGCTGCAAAGAAAGCAGTAGGGCCTTATGCTGGGAGAAATATTAGAGAAGACAAACCAAAAGCACAGAGCAGCATCACCTCCTGGATCAGGAAACACCCCCAGGAACAGCGAGGGACCTACTGAGCCCCCAGTCATGCCCTCCCGACCTGTGAGCACACCCCTCCTCCTGCCAGAGCCCAGTTTACCTGTCATCCTTGTTAATCTGATCTCCAAACCCCACGGTGTCCACGATGGTCAGCTTCAGGCGCACGTTGCTCTCCTGCAGCTCATAACTCCGGGCTTTCAACCTCACGCCGGGCTCGTTGTGTGTCGCCGGTTCGCTCTCGAACTTGGTGTTGAACAGAGTGTCCATCAACGTGGACTTGCCAATGCCGGTTTCACCTGAGCACACAAAGGCAACTTGGGATGGTCTGGCTGCTTTTCCTTGTCTTCTCGGGCACGTTCGCCAGGTTAAGGAGTTATTCCACTTGGGGAGCAGTGGAATTAGGCTACATGCACATGGCTAAGCAAGATAATCCCTGCAGGAACAGATGTCTTTGGAGACAGTCCCCGTCTTTACCAATTCCCCAGGACTGAACCAGGAACTTTCCTCACAGAAGCAAGTTGTAAATTCTCTTAACTCTGTATTTGATTCCCAAGGAGATACCCGATTTTATTTTGGTTTGGCTTTTTTAAAACAGTTTTGTTTCTGTTGTAAGAAGTTCACCCAAAACCCACAGCACAACTGAGGCAATAAAAATTTGAGACAGAGAAATACATAAGGCTTTTTTAAAAAAAAGGAAAATAGCACACTGATTGAATACCAACTTTTTAAACTATTACAGGTTCACTAATCCCCAGTGCAATTAGTAACATGGATGAAAGCATTAGCCCAAATCTCATTTCTAAGTCAGAAGTGTTTGTTTAGCAATTATACTCTCACACAGCTACTGCTACCCATGCTGTGAGCAGGGGTGGGCTGAGGCAGCTCATGTGAAAAGCTGAGTCCTGAACTCATGGCGCAGTACATTCATCTCTGGAGCTGAAGATTTTAGGGAGCTCCTCATGTGAACTGCTGCGTGCTCTGCTAGATGGCCTTTGCAGCCTTTCACATCCCAATTAAAAGTCTCACATTACAAGACCAAAGTTCATCACATCCTTTCTCAAGTCACCGTTATAAAAAATACTTTGCTTCCGAAGTAAGATTTCTGTTCCTTGGACAACTACAGCGATTTTTGTGAAATTTTAATATGGGGCGAAAATTGGTGGATCGACACATTTTACAGGAAAAAAAGAAGAGGTGGATCAAATTGCTAATGGAGACATATTAAGTCGTGCTAAGAAAGGAATATTTACTGCAAGAGAGAAAGGCAATTAATTTATGCCATTTTGATCAAAGAGCTGCCTGCTAATCGGGTTGTTCCCTGCTGAACTGCAATGGATTCATGCTGCTCCAGGAGTCACGTGAGGGCTGGGAGCTCGAGTGTGCACAAGTGCAACTGCTCTCCCACCTCCTCCTTCGACACACAAAGCTACAGAGAGGAGCCCAGTCTGTGTGCCAGACTTCTATTCACACAGCTCACAGAAACCCTCAATTCACTGTGCAAAATTCACAGTCAGAGGGCTGCAGGGTTTTTCCAGCTAATTAATGTAACTAATTAGAAGGGACAATACTCCCTTCTTGCAGGCTTAACTGAACAATGAACGGAGAGATGGTGTTCATAGCCTGCTCTGCCAAGCTAAGAGTGAAACCCAGCACTTGTGTCACTTTGCAGAACCACATTCTGGGTCCACTGACAAGTCCAAGCTAGTTCAGCTCCTGGCTCCCACAGGTTGAGCAACGGATTTCCAAGTGTGTAGTATCCACAGAGTACCAACACAGCACCTATCTCCCTATAGCAAAGAGGACACGTTGCCTTCCTGTATTTCACCCTCTGAACAATTTGGGAAAGATAACTCAGGCTATAAAACCAACCTGCAGCACCCAGGTTAAATACAGCAGAGGACAGGTGACAGGCTTTGTTCTCCAGTACATCACTTGGAGACTAAAAATGGCATCGATTCCAATTGGAGAAACTAAGAATGTAACTATATAGGCAAAGCCTGGAAGGGAAGGAATGTCATTTGGTGAGAAACAGCCTCTGCACCCAACCCAGAGAAGGCAGATTGAAGTTCACTTTCTTTTAAAAATACATTTAGCTCCCAAGTTAGCTCAGTTTCCTTATGGGCAGCCTTTGGGGAAAACAGAACCACAGGATGATCAAAGGCGAAGATTTTAACAGCTAAAAATGTCCACGTTTTGACTCAGGGGACAAGGTAGAGAAAGAGAAAAGAGGGATGCTAGATTTCACCCTGAAGCTGCTTTGGGAAGAAAACTGTCACTTCCCTGCCACTGTGGTCCCCCGTGGCTCAGCTCATCCCTTTGCAGAGGGAGGAGGTGTGAGTCTGTGGAGGGGTGCAGCCCTGACTGCCCAGAGGGGCAGGGTGACCTACCAACGCAGAGGATGTTGAAGCAGAAGCCCTGGGACGTTGACTTGTTGACCAGCTGATCAGGGAGGCTGTCGAAGCCCACGTGGCCGGAAAGGGACAGGTTCCTGAGGTCATCATTCTGTAAGACCAAGAAGGAAAGCATTTAACAGGGTTGCAAACCCCCTGTCAGGGAAGAAGTCCTGTCAGAACTCTGTTAGCGACACAGAGTTTTGGGACACAGCATCTTTCTCTTAGGTTTCCCTCCCAAAGTACTCTCCTTTTACTTCTACCCAGCTCTCTGCCGTGGGGCTCAGGAGCTAAGATGTCCCTGACCCCAAGGCATGCAAACACCACCAGACTGTTTCTCTGTGCCTGTCCCTAATAAACCATGATTCTGTACCAATCTGCAACACCCAAACGTTTTTTTCTGAGGCCTCAGCATCCCTTTGGCAGGGCCACAGCAGGACATAGCTCAGATAGCAACAGTGCCTTTAGAGCCACCTAAATGTCTCTCCAGCTTTCCCAGGCTTGGAGCAGAAGGGAACAAAGTGAGCGTGCTGCTCTGCCGTGCCTTGGTGTACAAATAACCCATCTGACACGAGGTGACAAAGCAGGGCACTGATCCCAGTGTTTTCTCCATGACCTACAAAGCCCCCAGTGCTGTCTCTCCACGTCTTCAGCAGGAAAAGAAGCCAGGCCAGGGAGCCCCAAGGTGCCAGTCATCTCTCGTGACCCGCTCTCCTCCTCCCAGCTGCTCAAGGGGCCTCAGCTGACAACATCCAACACCCCAAGGCTGTGGAGGGGAACAGGGCAGCACAGACCCTGCACAAGGGAGGTGTGAAACAGCTCCAAGATTATATTTAGGACTTCTCCACAACAGCTGTACCATAATTCACAGAGAAGCTTGGAAAAAGAAGCCAGCCCAGTTATCTCTTCCCTGGCAAATGGTGGTTGTGCCAACGTCCTGAGCACAGGTAAAACAAAAAATCCCCACCAACCTGGCAGACCTAGAGCAGCTCTGCTGTTATTTCACATATTTCTCCCAAAGTTTGCTTTGTCCTTAACTCAGAAAATACTAACCTTCCTCCAAACCCAAACACTTCCAGCACAGTCACTCCCCCAAGGCCATATTAAATTACAGTTGTGGGCAGCCTCAGCCTGGTTTAAAGATGCTGGAAGCAGCAGCTTCTTTTCCACAAAATCAGTGGGCTTTGGACCAGACACGGAAAAAGACACCCTTTGGTTGATAAAATAAGAATCAAAAGCAGAGAAGGACTTCCTACTCTCTGCACAACTGCTGAGCAGCTCCACTTCCCCCCTCAGAACATACGGACCAGCCACCAATTGCAGGAAAAAAACTAATTACATCTGGGCTGAATGTTGATGAAAACAGACTCAGACTCCAAGAAATACAATAATTCTCTGGGAAAGACAACATCAAGTGAAAATGTCTCTGTCTGTGCCATCACCACATGGCAGAAAGGGGCTAGAGGTCCTTTTCTGCCACACACATACAGGGCCTGACACCTGTATTAGATACCTGAGCCTTCTCCTAGCACCTAAACCAGGTTTGTCTGAAGACTTAACCCCGATCCACCAGCCTGTTCACCTCCACCCCTCTGTGGACTGACAGCTATTCCATCAGCACCACACCACAGAAGCTTAGGGTGATTGAGAGACGCCACCTCCTTCACTCAGGCTGAGTGACAAACAACACAGAAGAGACCATTGACCCACAACAGTGATTCTCCTGCAAAAGCCCCAGGCAATGGAAGGAGACCCTGGGATTTATATGTTATGCGAATGGGTTAAATTAAATATTTGTAACATTAGTATTTTTAAAACACCAGTGGGCTTGGGTTTATGATGAAGTGAAGGGAGCTCGGAGCTGATCCCAGAAAGCAGTAAGTGCCCATGACTCACAGGCTTCACAGAAAGTGGTGGGTGTTGAACATCTTTCAGCACCAGTCTCTCTTTCCCTGATATATTTTGGGCAAGCAAGTACTGCCTCATCACCAGTTACTCAGCAGGAACAGGAGTTACACTCATCTCCTGCATCTGTGTCAGTTATTTTTTGCTGCAGACCTTCTCGGGTTTATTTCCCTCCCCTGCTTTTTTCCCTGCGAGCGGCAAACATCAACAGTGGAATAAACAAGAACTACCCCTCCACTTTGCAATGCCAAGTATTTTTCACAAGCTGCGCTCACAACGGGAAGCAGAAGCGCAGTCTGATATCTGCCCCAAACACCAGAAAGCTCATGAAAAGCTCGAGGCCCGAGGCACAGCCAGAGATGAAACACAGAGCCAAGCCTCCACCTCCCTCAGCGTTCCCAGGAGGCAGCACATCTCCCTGAGTGGAGCAGACACAGAAAATAGGTGCAGTTCTGCACAAGTATCACAGACAGGCATTTCGGAGAAGGCAGGAGAGCCAAAGGAACCAGGATTCTAAATCTTTCTCTGCGCACACAAACAAAAGCATCGTGCAACCGAACAGCCAGTTCTGCAGCACAGAGATGGGCTTGGAAAGTGCACACGGTTTTTGGGGAGCTGCAGAGGAATCCAAAGGAAGGATCCAAGGGCTGCATAACCTCTTACTGTTCCTGCTTTTACCCTCTTCAAGGGGATAGCTTTATCCACATGGAAAGGAAGCCTGTGCTGGAGAGCAACCAGCCTGATTGCTCAGGGTATCTTTAGCAGAACAGGCAACTGATTCATGCATTCGGTCTGGCAGAACAGAAGTGTTTTAACAACAAGGGGATGCTAAGTCAGATGGCCCCGCTGCTCCGGCTGTGAATCGCCCCAACAAGCTCCTGAGCACAGTCAGTGGGCTGGGTTTGATCCCAACTGAGTCATCCCACCGAGAACTGGGCAACTCCAGCTGAAGAGGAGGTGCAGGCTCCTGCCCCACAGAGACAACCCCAGAGCCCCCATGTGCACCAACAACCACAGGAACGCTACAAGCATTGATTTGTTCCTCTTGCCACACGGCTCTCCTTCCAGAGGAAGTCAGCAGCACTGCTCAGGCACTTCACCCCAAGTGCAAAGGCATCTCATCACCCTGCCTCACTGTCTTCTTGTGCACTCCCAAGTGCATTCCTCATTTTCCTGCAGTGGATGAACAGAGCTCAGCACAACTTCTCTTCCCCCAACACTGCACCTAAACACACGCCTGGACTTAAACATCCCCTCACAGAAACTCAGTCCTTGGAGACGCCTCAGAACCACAGACAAGTCACTGTGTCTGGAAGCACTGACCTCTTACAAGCACACTAAAAGAGAAACTGTTTGCCAAGCACCCCTCCTTGCTCCCAGCTTCAGGAACCATGGACAAGATCAGCGTGGGTAAAACTGCAGCTCCACAGACTCCTGGAGGGATCAGACAGTTTGCACCAGACACGCTGCTAGATTTGGGTGTCTGCGTGATCTCAGCTGTCAGAGAGCTTAAGACATCCCAAAAACAGCCTTTATTTTTAAACTCTTCCTTACAACACCCATGTCCCCTTTACTGAAGATCACGTTATAGGGCATATATTCCCTCCCTCTTCCCACACCATCCAGGAGCAGGAAGCAATTCTGAACCTCCAGAGCTATGTGCTAACCCCTACAAAAACTGCAGAGCTACATGAACAAATAAATGCTTGTTTCTTGAGAAAGATGCTGATCACTTGACTTCTCCTTCCAGAGAGCCCTACAAGGCATCCCACAGTCAATATTTCTTGGGTCAACAACAATCTTTGAGCTGCTGTTATCACAGCTGCTGGTTTTAAATCCAGCAGAGGAAGGGAGGGGGTAAGTTAAGCAGAGACAAGGCACAGCATCTGCCTACCTACCATCACTATAAAGAGATTTATCTTCAGGAGTTCATGTCCTAGTGTTCTTAATTTTAAGGGGGGTAAAAATGCCTTGCAAAAGACAAAAAAGGGTTTACCACCTCAGAACCCTGTCAAGGCTATTTTGCATCTGTTGTTCTTCATACACAGCTCCTGGTGGCAAAAGTTCTGTAGGTGAAGCAATGCTGCAGGGGATGCTCTGTGGCAAACAGTGGGTCTGCCTGGATGGAACTCACTGAAACCATATAAAACAATTCAGTTGATGAGGCACGTGCAAGGAGAGAGTCAGCTCATTCCTCCTAAGCCACAGCAGCTTGGCAGAGCGAGCAGGGATAAAGGGGAAGTTATTCTCCTGGCCAGAGTCAGGAACAGTGCACGGTCTGTGTGCACATGGGGAGGGGGAGATAAAGGTGGGCCCTGTGCTGGGAAATGCATCCCTCCTCCAGAGGCAGCACGAAGCAGAGCAGTGTCCATGCAACTCACAAGGTGCGTGGTAGCTGATCAGAGATAACGCAAAAATTGCTCTTCTCTTGGGCAGGAAAAAAGCAGCGCTCCCAAAAGGCTGAGGAGGGCAGATCCCCAAGGACATGTGCAGTTACTGCCCAGGTCTCCGCTCTGCTCTCCTGGCTGAGGACTTAACCATGGTAAGGACTATTCCCCCAGCCCCAGCAAGCTCCTGGTTGAGCCTCTTTTGCCTTAAGGCTGCTGGCAAACCCTTCCCTCGGCCCCTCCTGGCCCAGGGCTGCCGGCAGCTGGGGGTCAGCTTCACACGGCCTCCCAAGAGTTAAAGAAAACAAAAGCGAGCCTCAAATTCGAGAGGGGGAAAACGCTGGTATGCAAAATATTGAGCTCAACCACAAATATGAAGCAAGTGTTTAGTTATTTGAGGCCACACGACTCGGGAGGCACCTTTAAGAAATTCTAAAAGCTTTTATTGTTGTCAGCAGCTCAGGGCAGCAGCATTTTTGACCAGTTACTAGGCACATGTTCCTGCATTTCTGAAGTCATCTTAGATGCTACAAAGCCAGGGACCTCTGGGATAGTTTTGTCTGCTCAGACAAAAGCACAGCTCAGGGACGAGCAGAGAGCACAGAAGCAAAGAGCAGTCAGCAAGAGACAGATCTATCATACCCCCTCCATGCCAGCAGGGGACCAAGTATTCCCAGTGTCTGTACCAGAGCCAAGCTCTCTGTTCCTTGAAACAGCATCCACAACCCCCCTCCCCTTCCTTACAGAGGCTTAAGGCACAGTCAAACCCATAACTGTTGGACAAGGGAACTTATGAACAATGGTACGGGGAGAACACGAA